TTTTAAACAAGGTGGAGTTTGTAAAAGAAATGCTGCAAACCTATATAAATTCTCCAATTTAATTGTTAAAATTACGTTTGTTAGAACGCGTGTTAAATAGTACTGCTTGTCAACCCCCCAAAAAATGGCTATGATAAAATCATTTGCATTTAAATTCTAGAATATCTTTTTGTCTAGTCCGTGTTTATTCATGCTTTTTTGTAAAGAATACAGATTGAAAGAAATAACTTATTACGGGTTTTTATTTCGTTAGAAGTGACGTAATGAAGTCCTTAAACTTATCTAAAAAATGATTATGAAGACGGTTTCTTGCCTTTCTTAATCATACAAAGGGACAAAATGACACCGATTGCAATCCTTTTTTTAGTAACAATGGACATCCCGAAGGTTGTGATACAGCTGAATTTTAAAACAATCCAAGTTTATTTATTTTAATTAGATTGCTGTATGTATATACAGGAGGCCTAATATGCATGCAAATCTCTGCGCGTCTGTCTTTGTTTCTGACGGTAAGGAGCCCAAATGCGCATGTAAATCTCATGCGGCCGTATGTCTTTGTGTTTGACCTCAAGGGGCGAAAACTTTTGAAATTGACATCAGAGACCTCGTGAAATTTAAATCTAGTAGTCTACATTTTAACATTCTAAATCGAAAATTTTATTTCGCAATGAAATGGAAATATGAAAATGGAATCACTGTTTACTTAGTATAATCTGCCCTGGCATTTTATACTAACTAGATACTGCTGAAGGAGCTCGAGGCAGGGGGGGGGGGTAACAAATTAACCATCAGATATAACTTTATGTTTTAGATATGATTAGGCTGTCCGAAAGCTTAGAATGCAAAATACACATATTTTTTTTGAGCTAGATTTTATTTTAAAGGGGCTGGGGCGTTGTGGCCATTTTTAGACTACAGTATATTGATCTCCTGTGGATCTCCAGAAGAACTCCATATAAAGATATACAAATTTCAAACCTAAAACTTCTGAAATCTTTCTTTGCCAAAGGATAGTTGAGAGCATCAAGATATTATAACTGCGCAATTTTTTTTTATTCATGTATAGGGTATTATCATATCAATTTAGTATTTTATTTTATTTGTTCTGAAACATATGCTTCTCTGAAGTTTTATAATGAAACAGTAATGGTTGATATTACGTTTTAGATGTGTTATAAACTAATGTTGTCCAATTTGTTAGGTTTATATTCATAATTGCTTTTTAAGCATATTGTTCGACAGGTGTTCTCGATTTAATTGAAAAACTTATCTATAAAAGTAAAGACAAAATGACTTGCACTGGACAGTGTATCCTCAGTACTGAAGGTAATATTTATAGTTTTTATTATAATTTTTTTCTTGTCAAACATTAATTTTTACAAAGTCTTCTATGCATAGTTTTACTTTTTACTATTGAAAAATTGTGCTCATGTAGGAAAACTGCACGGTCGGATCTGTTCTATAATGCTTGTAGCATCAGGCCTAGGGCTCACCATGGTCGTTTTAACGTGGCAGCTCCGCCAAAGTTAAATTCCTTAGCACCACAGTTAAAACAATCAGCGTCCGAGTTCAGCTACAGTAACAATATTAGCACTACAGTAAGATCGTTGTCATCAGTTAAATATATAAATTTATTAATTAAATGAACATGCAAATTGTGTACAGATGTTTTGTTTCCAATGCTTAACCGTTAATTTACTCTAATTAGGGTCTAGACCTCGCTGGACATATAAATAAAAAGAGACATTCCAAGATAAATACAAATAAAATTTTTAATACCAATAACTTCATACTTGAATGGTTCTACAGATGAGAACGTCCCTAAAAAGTGCATTGGTTCTGCGAGTACATCACCGTACGTGTACTGTAATCATGATTTTTTAATGTTGAAAAATTAAAAACACCAGTTTACACACTTTATTATTATTTTTGACTCTATTTTTTTATTGGAAAGTTTTAATTAAAGTTATATGATTTTTAAAGACATAATATAACTTTTATTTCAACAGTGAAATGTGTTAAGCTGGTCGAAAATTATCTATTGATTATACTGTCATGAAGTTTTATTATTATACCGGGTATTGTGACAAATATATCAAATATATTATGAAAGGCAAGAAGAAAAAAGTCTCTCTTTGAGCTAAGAATAAACTCATTTTGGTAAACAAAAAATCAAAAAGCATTTTTTGTTTGTTTAATGATTTATGCTAAAAATATGATTTTATTGAGTGCAGAAAGATCGAATAATTGACTATGCGAAGTAATTGGAAACTTTTTCGTTGTCACAAATTTTAAGGAGTCTTTTCAAGACAAAGAAGATTGTTTTTTTTAATAAGATTGGTTTATTTGAATAAACGATATTGAAAACAAAACTTTTTAAAAAAAAATGTATATTTTTTTTTAGATGTAATTGTAGTGCAAAAAATAAAATATAAAATGCTCCGTAGCGCAAAAAGATGGCAATGACCTGCATTTCTACTTTGATTTGATTTTTATTTCTTTAGTGTAGATTTTACTTTAGATTTTTTAGTGTATATTCTAAAAAAAATACACTGTACTTCATTAATTTTTTTAAAATAGTTTTGATAGCAGGATCGAATAAATTGTTATGCTTGATGTAGTTTTAACCTTCTGTGTCAGAGTTTGAAGTTTCTTTTTATCTTTTTTTACTTTCACCTAATCGTATATTTACCACCGAGTTAGAGCGCATCTTGACACCAATAATGGATTTTTTTGGTCCGTGTAACACTTAAGAATTCATTTTTCTAAAATGGTTTTGAGTTTTAGAATGTTAATATTTTTGTTCAAATATCTAAATTTCATTGTTTTCACACTTCCATACAAGGGTTAATTGGTAGTTGCAATAAAATACAGTGTAATATTTAAAAAAAATTTAAATATGTCTTTTCTATAGAGCCACGGCTCTAGAATTATTTTAGCACTGTTAAGTCAGACATAACATAAGTCATTCAATTGATGTAAATAAATTGCTTAAAATTTTGAACATGTTCTAGGAAATCTTAAAATATTTTACTGTTCTTAAGTTTCTTTTTTTTTTGTAATGTGATAATTCGATTACGAAAACTGATAAATAATCACGGCAAATTTACTTTCAAAAATGTAAATGAGTACGACTGTATCGGTCAGAATTTCCTCTGCTTTTCAGAATGTACGTGTTTTTACTTTTCTCAAAATGTACAACTATACCATTTGTGTAACTAATTAGCGATTTTTAAGAATAAGTGTGTGCATGTATTCTTTTGTAATTTTCATAAATAGTAATTAAGTTGCGAATTTGATCGCGAAAATACCGCGAAAGTTTACTTCTTCGCGTTAACTCTGCAACACAGTAACATTCCAAATGATGGAGAACCCTGTATATATATACCAACAACACTGTATATCCTAAATGTCGGATCTACTAAGTAGATACAAGGTCACGGATGGAAATTTATATAAAGCACTAAAATGACCAACGACAAACAATAAAAATTGAGGGGTTTCCTCATCTGATGCTTGTTTACCTGCTTTTTTTAGCAGAGCATCCCATGTCAATGAATGAAACAAGTATAAATATAAACCAATGGTTTAGAATTTGTAAAAATATACACCAATCAGAAAGATTCATGTACATAATCACCATCCAAAATAGATGGAAGTCCAGAACAAAGAAATATTCCAAAATGGCTGACCTAAATATGCATGGTTTTAGTCTCCGTAGCTTTGTTAGCAAGGACATAAGATTATACACTAAAAGGAATATATCTAAGCTACTATCTAAAGGTATAATAATGATATTTAATGTTTCATTATAATAAATATTTATAGCATTTAAATAGTTATTCGGACTTATTATCCATTATCCATGCTGTTAAGTACACATCGACATAAATGCAATAAATTGTAGGAATATAGAAATAAAATTTATATGAATAGAAAGCTCTTTCTTTTCTTTATATTTTACACACAACTTATATGTTGATTGCATCAAAGATAAGGATGCTATAAGCTGATAAGTAAAGGAAATATGCATTCACTGCGATATCTGTTTACACTTAAGAGTCAAAATCAGCAAGCATCGAGCATTGAATGGAAAGTCAAAATTTTATTTTTTCAAAAGCTTTTGGTATATGAAAGATTTTGTCTTACCTAATGCTAAAACACAATTAAAATTTTTTTCGAACGTATGAAGGGACTGGTATCCAAGGAAATTCATTTCCTTAGCAACGGGTTCATAAATCCTTATGAAAATCAATGATATTTAGACATTTTTTAACGAATATTTTTTCTGAACGTGATAAGATAAGGTATTTTGGTTACTTTATTTGTTAAAAGATGGAATTACTTAATTCTCCAAAAATAGGAAAAACAAAATTTCTGTAGTGATATTGTTGCCATGACAACGGGAAAAGAACATGGCGTCAATGCTTATTAATTTTGAAAAAAGTTGCATATGTTTATCACTTTATTCACAAAATCTACAACCACTGCTGGAAAATTGAATGGTATGATCTTGTTAGGGGTTATCTATATGTCATATCTATACAATAAAATTTGCAGGCAACTTTAGCAGAAAAAAGTTACAAATGGTTAAAATGTGTGAAAATCTAGCATTTATAAGCTTTTTTGAAGGGGTCGGGGTAATTTGAATACATGTTCAGTGTCCATTATATTGGCCATATTGGTTCTGATCAAAGCATACTCATAACGTTACTATTGTTAATAAATAAATGCACATTCAATTTCAAAATGAATTTTATATTCCCCACAAAGGAAACTTGGAAAAGGGGGGGGGGGGTTAGGAATCACCTTGTTCAACGATCCATATCACACCTCCTAACCTCATTAGCATAAATCGGAAGAATTCGGAGATAAACGTAATAAAATGGGAACAAAATCCGTAAACGTCCGAACAGCTTTCCTCGCGAGAATTCAGCGAGACCAACATGCTACAGGTGAAAATCGAGAGAGAAATTCAACATGAAAAAAGAGGTAAAACTTTATGTTATCTCGATTTATAAGATTTGTAAATTGCAAAAAGTTGAAAAACAAACGTTTCTTTACCTGAAAAATGAAAGTAGGTTTGCAGTTTCTTATTCTGTCAAGTGCTATTGCACTTTAAAGTGTCAAAACAGCACCTCTCGATTTTGTAAACATGTTTCCACGTGGAAGGGAGTAGTTGTGATGGTCAAGATTAACCCACATACATTGATTTAGTGAACAAAAACACTCGTAAGTAGAATTTCATTTATTTTTTCGATTACCTCTAGCACAAAATGGCTAAATATTTTAGGGCATGTTTGTCAAATGCTGTTAATAGCATGTCTAAAATTGAAGAGAAAATGCAGGTGTGCTATAGTTAAAATTCCTACACAAGGAGAGACTATGCATGCATATGCAGAGTTACGCGTATAAAAGTCATTATTCTTACTTAAAATACCCAGTGATTTGTGAGAACCATATGTGTTTTTTCAAATACCAAGAGACTAAAATTTAATTCTATCCGTACTCGTGTGTATGCACAAGAAGTCCTTCCGAATTTCCTCTACACATATACATGTGTACCTGGATAAAGGATTAAAGGTTTGTTTACATTTGTTTGCAGTTTTAATAGTGTCAGCTGTTTATATCAATCATGCAGTTTTCACTAGTCTAGAGCCTTCTGATCAAAATATGATTGTTACTTTTCTAATTTAATATCATAGAATTTATGATCAGATGATGTCACAACCAGTTCTCACATACTTGTGTATATATCAGGTATGAAACTTCACATATGCAGTTGTCGCCCACGTGGTGCAGTGATTCAAAATGCACTATAACAAGTAAGGAAGGTACTTGAGGTACTGTGAGCAATGAGCTCTGACACTAAATGATTTGACTTACCTGCTAATTCTCATATGAATATAATGACTGTGTCCATGTTTTGCTATGGGAAACCCCAAATATGTGGTGGATCAAAAAGTAAAATAGAAGATGCACAATTGCAATGTGTAATATAGATTCTGTGAAAGTCATCAAATATCACTCAGTGGTATTAGAGGAATTAGCGGTTAAGAGATGGGTACACCAAAGCATAACAGACGGACAGACATACCGATTACTTAATATACCCTCCCGCTTTTCAAGCGGGGGGTTAATAAATTACATGCATGAAAATGCATCAATCTGTGCAATGAAAAGATATTGCTGAAGATAATTTACATTGATGTTTTGCATTTTTGTTTGTAAGAATACATGTATTTAATTTACATATTGTTTGATTATTTCAATGTGTTAAATGAAAAGTAATTTTCTTTTTTGTTTGTCTATTGCAGGTACAGCTGTAGAGTACATTTTGAACAGCCATCTCCAGGTATGACAAAAATAACACAATTGACCCTATAAGGTTAAATAAACAAACATTATTGAATTTAGAAAATGTATGTAATGAAGCACAAATGTGAAATCATTGTAGGCCCAGGCTAGAAATAGTTTTCTTTCACTGCTCACTCAGGCTTTTTACTGGTCAGATCATCATAATATCACTATCCCACTCCCAGGCTACTAGATTTACTAAAAAGAGACTGACCCAAAACCATAATAAGAATAATAATCATGATAAATGTAATAGTTATATTTTGTTTATTTAATGTGATACACAGTTGGACAAATAATTAATCTAAACAAAATAGGACTTCCTTGACAGAACTTTGAAACAAGCCTGTTAAGTTACTAGCCCAACTATAATTGTATTTTGTTATACATGTACATAGAACTGACCCAAAAGACAGATGCCCCCTACCATGTACTATCCTAGGTAAAACAAAAATCACTGACCCCTTCCAGTGGGCCTTCAATTATTTTTTTTAGCCTTGCATTGTAAAGTCAGCTATCGAGACATTCTGTCCTTTTTTGTTGTTTGTTTTTTTAATGATATGCACCATCCCACACAAATTATACACACAAGAAAATATATTTTTTTCTCCACTTTTAAAATACGGGCTTCACTGATCTTTACATGTATTCAGTGTATGTCTTTTCTTTTGAAGAATGACATTGTTGATTGAATTTAAAAATGGTCTTCAATTTGTATGCATATGATAGTGATGATACTGTATTAAATGCACAAAAATTATAATTTCATTAAAATAAAACAAAAAAAGCAAATATAAACTTTTAAAAAAGAAAATCAAATCAATTCATTTGTAATGTGCAATGATCAAATGATCAAATGTTTCTTGCAGGATATACTCTGAAGACAGTGATGTGCAAGTTCAAGGTTTGCCTGTTGTGAGTATTGTATATGTAACTGTAAGGTAAAATTATAACATATTTAATATGCAACATTATTATTTAATTATTATCATCCTGATTATGCTGATTCTCAAAAGATTTAATCACATTCTGTTCTATTTTCAGCAGATACTTCAATAACAAAGAATGGGTGAAAAAAATCTCACATTATCATGCTGCATAATAGCACATGTAAGTTCAAAGGCAGGAGAAAATCCATTAAAAGATAATTTATAAATACAGTTGGTTGTCTGTTTCAGCAAACAATTTAATGAACTGAAAATTATGTTGATACATAATCAGCATATTATCCAAACTGTAAATGATTGCATTACATATTTTTCTGATTTGCATGTAGTGCATTGATATTTGTCAGTATTTTTCATTCAGTTTTCTTTCCACATTATTGCAAATGCTTGTATTTTATATGGATTAATTAAATGTAGAGGATTGTATTAACTTATTAATCATATTTGTAGTTCAGCTGTAACAAAACAAATTGATGAAAGCTTCAACCACTAGAATCTAGGAAAGGATGTCAAGTCCAAAGAGAAGGTATGTTGATTACTGGTGATGATATGTTATTGATGTACAGTAAAACTCGGTTATAACGAAGTCACTGGGACCTTTGAAATTACTTCGCCATATCTGTAATTCGTTATAACCGTGTAAGAAAGTCATTAAATTTATATAGCTGGTGCTCCAAGATGACTTCTCTATAACCGTAAATTCACAATATCTGTGTTCGTACTAAACGAGTTTTGCTGTATATAGAGTACAGCAATAAAATAGAGAGAACAATAGTAATCCGTACACAAAAAATTAAATCTTAATTCTTTTCAAGAATAGGCAGGTCATTATTAGTCACTCTGAGATAGTTAAGAGCAGATTTAGATTTGTTCAGATCATATAGCTATGGGGTAGGGTGGGTCCACAGTGGGGTGTCAAAGTTTTATTCTGGAATATTTAAGGCTGAAGCCTTTTATTACGAAATCTATTCAAGATTACCAGGGCCATGATACATCATATTTTTTGAACGAATACATCCTAGTACAGAATCCCAGAATCAAGGGTAATGGATGTGCCATAATTAGAAACGGAATGTTTATCTTGAAAGTCCTATGTAAATATTGGAAAATCATTTTGTTTATTTCTTGGCTTTTAAGTTAAGTAGAGATTAAAATAATACAAGTTTTCATAATTTAAATACCTATTTTATGGAGACTTTAGTTGATATCTATGTAAGTTCAAAAAAGCTAAAATTTTCAGAAAGAAAGCAATATTTTGGGGTTATAGAAAAGGGGCATAACTCTCATCATGATAGTAATGATGGATTTCAGATAATGTGAAAAATGTGTACTGTTGGGAAACAAGTGAATACAGTGCAGTCTAAATAAGTACAGTTAAACAACAGTATCTTAAAATCAAAAAACTTTGACTACCTAGGGTATGTTGACGTTCATGACAGTATTACAAATTGGATGAATGATTTGCAAACACTTGGAATTACATATATATATATATGATTTACTTTTGTTAATTTAATTTGCTCATTTTGCACATATCTCTTTCTCATGCAGATTATTAATGAACGATGATAGACTGAATTAGCAATTGTAAATGGCATACATGTATATGAATTTTATGTACTCTGTTTAGAGTTGAACTTTGGTATATATCTTTGACAGTTGACACTGAGTGATATTTTGAACACATTGAGATATCAAAGTCATTTTAAAGTCCCTTGAACGACATTTTTTTTTCTATATATCTTACCCTGAATCTCTTGGATATCTCAGTTTTTTCAGCAGTCCCATGAGCATTTCAAGATAACAAGTGTGACTTTATTTTATTGATTCAATTAATTTATGATGAATTATAAAAATACCAATCATATAGTTTTATTTTAATGCATTAACATTTTATATTTTTCAGGCCATATAACAAATGGTTGCTGAATTCATGAAGACTAGCTGGGATGATACAGTACTTTTCTACTCATATGAACCATATCTAAAAATCATTTCAGGATCCCTTTCTCAGAAAAAAAGAATTTGCATATTCAAAGACTCTATAGTTTATTGTTTATTTGTTTGTTTAACATTCTTCTTGAGAAATTTTCACTCATATGGGGATGCCAACATTTGTCGGTGGAGAGCTGCAAATTTTGTCCTTTACTTGGCACACATGGCTAATTGAGCAATGAGGGATCTTTTTGGTACTAGCACCTACTGCAACACAGGACCTCTGTATATACAGTCTCATCTATGTCCGACTGTGGGATTTCGAACCAGCAATTTATGGATCAGCTCCTTACTCATGACTCTCGAGCAGATGCTCTTGCCACTGTGCCATGCAGGTGACTTCATAGGTTATAAAATGATAAGATTCATAACTTAAAACTGATTTTTTTTATTCAATCACAGTATAGAAAATGTTTGCGAAAAAGGGAGGTAATAGCTACATGTAGCTCTCACTGGTATTGCATGCTTAAACTATATGAATTACATATATTGTAATTACACATGTATTTTAAACCAGATCAGTAAAGAAAGAAACACTTGAATATTTTTACTTTGAATTTTATTATAAGGTTGATTATCTTTTAAAAAAATGGAACTTTTAATTTTTTTTTTGAGTAGGAAAAAAAAATATTTAGAATGTACATGTGCACTTAATTTTGTTGATTAAAAATAGTCAAAATTTGGAGATCTTGTGAAGGGGATCTAAATATTGATTTATAAATTTTTACTTCATTTTTAAACAGCATAATCTTTATTATAACATATGCCTGTAATATACAACTTATTTGTTGTTGAACATTCCATTGTCTGTCTACATGTAGTGCTTAGTAAATTTCTTGTAAATAAAAACATGATTGAATGCTGTTTGTTTATTTTGTCTTTTTTTCAATATGAGTCATGGTATATAAATGGTGTGCATATCAGTTTAAATTATTTTTGTTGAATTCAGTTAACAGAAAAAATTAATAACTGAATATGATTATGTAGATAGATACCTTCCAGAAATATTTACGTTCTTTGGATGCACTAGTAGCTGCAGATATGTAGCTTATGTGAAATCAGGTATAATTTGAAACTCAATTTACCTGTACTTATTAAACAGAAATTTAATGAACACATTCATATACCTCTGCAGTATTTTATATTGAAAATACACTGTGTTAATGTTTTACTTATTCAACATAAAAATTGACCAGACGTGATCTTAATGAAATAAAACATATCTCACAATATTTTTTTTCTTCCCCCCCCCCAATTTTATCACAATTTAAATGTATATAAATTGATAAAGGAAACTGACTATACCATTAAAGAAAATCTTGAGTTGTCTTTCCTTGTTTAAAGAAAATAGCTGATGCAATGAATGCTCCCTTGGGTTCATGACCCTGAATATTAATAAGGTTGGGAGGTGTGCATATGTTTGTTAAAGAGCCATAGCTGCCTTACCGACGACTCGGCCTACACAAGTATTTAAAAGGAAATTACCTGTTTCTATTTATAGATACATGTACCTTTTCAAATCAAAATCAATCCACATGTATCTAATCATTTGTGAACCACTGTTATATTTTCATAGTTGCAAGTTTGTTGCATGAAAGTAATTTTACTTGTCCAATACTCTTATTCTAAACAAAATTGTTTGAAAATTTTAAAAATAAAACAGGCTACAGCTATGACTTTGGTTCATTAAAATAGTTTAAGACTGTTTTTCCCCAAGATACTTTCAATGTGTAGCGTTGTATATTATATATCTCTTTTAAAAATTATTTATACATGTATGTATTTTAAAATAAAAGAAAACACAGGAAAATCCACACAGAGAAAAAAAATATAGTTATTAAGTAACACGCAGTGTGAGATTCGAACTCACAATCATTATGTCTTCAATCCAGCAATCATACCACTATGCCACGAAGTCTTGGTAATCGAGTCGATAAAATTAAGACAGATTGTTGAATTTTGAAATAATTTTAGAAGAAAAATTAAATACGTATTTTCAACATTTTCAATATGAAGACCACCTTTAACCAAAAATATCTAAACGTAATGAAGTTCAGTCATATCCAAATAAAATTATTCAGAAGTTGTTTTTCTGGTTAAGGTTGGTCTTTTCCTACAGTTTGTCATTGTTTAGGTGAGTACCTCAGTATTTACTATATTCTCCATATAAACTGAACGAGTTTTATAACTATCATAAGAGGGAAATATTAATAATTAAGTATAATTTTTGTGTGAGTTGCTTTAAGGCATGTATAAACAAACATTGTATGACACAATTTTGGTAAAACAAAAAAATCACTACTAGTGTAGGCGAAAGTGACTATCAAATGCGCTATGGCTCTTTTGACTTGTCCATAACATTTCAATGAAGTGCCACTGAAAGTTCATACTTGATATTAAGATTGCTTGCGATAGAGATATGTGTCTAAAACTTGACTCAAGGTCATTTGAACAAGTTCAAGGTCATTGGTAGAAGAAAAGTGCAACCTTTGCCCATTCTGTAACATTCTAATGAAAAGACTTGGTTTCATCTTGGGAATTATTTTTAAGCTGTAGGTTTGTCATTACCTTGACCAAAATTCATTTGAACATGTTTGCCCTTGACTCAAGGACATAGCTTTTTCAAGGTCACTGCAGCAAAGGTGAGTTTGGCACATTTACATATTTAACTTCGAATGAAGGGAAATTGGAAGTTTGTGCTCAACACAACGGTTTTACTACCTATGACTTGAGTATTTGTCATAGTCAAATTGTTGTATGTATATCTGCACTAGCTAAATTTTAAAAGGTTTCAAATTAGTATTTAGACCTTTTTAGTAATAAAAAACATTTAATGCAATAGCAGGAAGGTTGTATCATTTTATTAGCTTGCTCACAATAATTCTTGTTTATGAAAGAGAGTCACTATGACAGCTCACATAATTATATTAAAAGTAAAACCATGTCAATCAGGCATGTAGCATCAGGTTTGGGTTGGGTAGGGGGGGTGACATCCCGCACCCAACTTTTTTCTCAACGTACCCTAATATTTAACCACCCCCCCTCCCGAGTTTGTCCTTCCGTCCGTCCGTCTTTCTGTCTGTCTGGAACGCTGTCGTTTCCACACGATATCTCGAGAACCCTCTGAGCTTTTGCAATGAAATTTAGCATACATGTAGCAACAGTTACTCCCAATGGACTAAAGAAGAACCCTATTGATTATGTGGTCAAAAAGTCAAAGGTCAAGGTCATACATAAACAAATTCTCTCTGTTATAACACTTTCCTTTCCACACAGTATCTCTAGAACCATTTGAGCTATTGCAATGAAATTTCACATAGCAACTCCCCGTGGCCTTATAAAGACCGTTATTGATTTTGAGGTCAAAAGGTCAAAGTTAAAGGTCGTAAATTTATACATTCTCTCTGTGTGTAACACTATCATTTCCGGGCGATATTTCAAGAAGATTTTGAACTTATGCAATGTATTTAATACCAAAACTCCCTAGGACCTCTCTCAAAGTGTCCCGCCCCGTTTGTTTTATTAGTATTTATAGTATTACATGTCGCTATTTTTAGCACAGGGGCATGAGGAGAGTTATTGCGTATAAAACAGGTTCTCGGCAGAATTTATATCCCTATCACATCCACCAGAACTGTTTACTAAAGGTTGAATTAGACACCATGTTTTGTGTAAATTTTTGACGATATCAAACGTGAATATATACATTATGTGACTTCTATTTGCATATAATTATCGAAATTGTAAAGCAGTTTTGTGGCGCAGTGGTAAGTCTCCCACTTCACATGCGAGAGGTCACGGGCCCGATTCTCGGATTATCATTTTTTTCTTTTCCGAAATTCTTTTTTTTTTACTAAATGATAGTATTCAGCATCTGAAATGAAAAAATTATGAGGTCTAGCCTTTACAAACTCGTAAAATCATCATTACGTTGTGATAAATAATCCACATAAAAATAATCTTCTATACACATAATCAAATCATTATATCAATATTGACATATTTTATTTGCTTCAGTATGCATGTATACATTTAAAAATTCTACAAATTCAATAAGGGGGATCCGACACCCCCCCCCCCCCCAGGACTGCGCATGGTTTATTTTTTCCCTAAGCGGTAGACACAAATTCTCTGAATTAGCCTGTTAAAAAAAATGCTAACAGACAAACAAAGAATGTTACTTTTGGATTGAACAGTTTTATTTGATCCACTTTCATGAATACACTGTACAATTTATGGATCTATTTTCTGGATCCCTGAGTCTCCGGTAACACTATCCACTCACTTCCAGCATCAATGGTCTGTACTGTAATGATGTATTCTCATAATGATAATCTGAAAAAGTGATAAAATCAAAATGTAATAATATTATACAGCTTTGCCTTCAGATACTTACTAAGAACCATTTCTAGTTGAGCTTGAGCATTGATGATAAATGCAAAGCATGTTTATTGGAATCAATTAAATTCCAAGAGATCTCAATGGTTTAGTTTATCATTTTATTTTAAAAAGTTAACGTTTTTACTAAATGCATTATTTACACGTTTTTCCTGTCTAATTCTATATCAGCTCATCCAATTCTGTTTCTGCGTCTTTTCGAGTTTGGCTTCAAAGTGGCGAATTTCATTCTAAAAACAGAAGTATACAAATCAAAGTTGAGACGGTATTGATTTTAGATATTATTTAAATTTATAAACTTGTAATAAAAATGTCAATTGGTTCTAGGTTTTGTCAAAACTCTAAATTGTGGTTTTCGTTTCTTTCCAATAACCCCTCCAAGAAAAAATAGAGTATAGAAATTCTTTTCAAAATTTTATGTGCTGTAATTCTAATGATGCTTAGTATTTGAATCTAGTTGACTTAACCTTTTTCTTTTTTTACGACGTCATAACAAAAGTCATTCCATTTTACAAATATTTCATAAAAGTGTTGATTTTCATAAATTCATAATTTTTTATGTAAAAAGCAGGTATTATCTTATTAAAATGATAAATAAAGATATCTATTACTATATACAGAATTTTTATTTACCCGACCATCACTCAAGTTATAATCATTATAGCTGGTGAGCAATCGGAGTTCCTCGGATGACTCGTACCTCGCACATAATTGAATGGAGGAATTGAGGATTGCCGATTGGCTGTTGAGTGACTTGGTTACACACAGTCATGCTGTGAATACAACAAATCAAAATTGAACTAAATTCAAATTAAACTTTATAATTTGGGATATAGTTATGTAACTGATCATGACCAACTTTTTCACGTTCGGCCCGCAGAAACAATCTAAGTTGGGGAATTTAATTTCATTTTATCATATTATAGTTTAATATCGGCAATATTATCGGGAAGGGGGGGGGGCATACCCCCTCCTCTTGGTTCCTCGGGACATGCATAATCTTTTCTTTTTTTGTTATAAAAAATTAAAGTAATGCTAACATAGATAATCAATCAGAATTTAATTGAAATGTGCAAAAAACACTTGCCAAGCGTTACATATTTTCCTGCATGGTTAATTTTTGTTATACATTTTTCAGAAACTGTTGTTATGGTAAATTGTAAAAAAAATTCAGTCACTAACCGTAATTAAGACTCATGAAAACGCCAAAACTGAGGCTCAGACTGCTCCAAGTTTGTATTTTCTTCTAGTCTTCTGTAGCCTACAGTGTTATTGAAAACAATGTAAGCAAACTACCGTTTATTCCTCCTATGTTAGAGAGCTATACCAAAGGGAGGTAATTTGAAGCAAAAAAGACAGAAAATTATGGATTTAAATCAGTTATCATATATAAATGCTTTAGTTGCCTGCAGATTTTTTTTTTTTTGATTTTTATAGACGAAATACTGTTTAATATATATTTTATGTTGATAAGCTTTAATGTGGTTGTAGATTTCTTATAAAGTACTTCAAATTTGCTGTTTTTTAAAGCAAAATAAACCTCCAAAAACTAGTTATATTTATCAAAAGGTGAAGAGAATTTTAAAAATCAACATCTGCTAAAATAGAGTATATTTATATAAATAAAATAATAATTTAAAAAGCTTTTTTTAATGACTAGTAATAAAAAAGTATTTGTTTAACCATAAATTCAAGTGTCATGATAAAGTACAAAACACGCTATCTGAAAGGCGCGTGGTTTCCATAGCAACAATGCGAAAAATTATTTTTTGCTTGCTTTTTTGTATCATTCCCTTTGTTCTGAAAATTTATATATGAGTTTTAAACAAATCTGTTTCTATGCCACTTTCCACATTTTTTAACTCAATGCTCGATGCTTGCTGATTTTGACTCTTAACTTTCGCCGCAGCAGTGGAACTGATAAGCCAAAACTTTGACCGCAGGATAAGGGTTAACATAGGCACTTGGGGTATGAAACCACCCCCCTTTTTCCATTTTTTGTCTTTTTAAATCTAGGTTCGAGTCACTTTTTTTTTATATTTTTCTGTTCTAATATGCACTATATGTTATCAGAAATGTAACTCTTTTGTCTCTACAAGCTGTTTTTAAATATGTCTTTTTCGACTGATACATATAAAGCTCTCTTTATAGTTGGGTAGATTTTATAGAATGTTAGCTTAAGCAAATTTTCTGAATTGATAGGCATGATTATATCACAAATGTGTTATCCATATATAAGTTATGTGAAAAAAGTCTAACAGGTCCGGGTGTCAATATTCGGGGGGGGGGGGGGGGGGGGCTATCCTCAAGCACTTGATGGGAAAATGCACCGTGTGCACGGATTTAGTTCAATTCAGAGTGTAGGAACTCTTTATATAAAACATTAAAGAACGAATTAATGTATCAATGTATGTTATATTGTAACGTATTCAATAGAAGAAGGGACAGCTACCGATGATTTCCTGAAAGTGCAAAGGACATTTTCTAAATCATACACAGCATTATAATAATGTAGATTAAGAACAAATTAAATATATTCCTAATTTTTTTAATTAATAGCAGTTTATAACTAATTTCTGTTACTTTTCAGATAAAAGGACTTTTTCGCTTTTCCACGTAGTCCTTCCATATTGCGACTTTAAGTCACAGGGAATTAATAAATAAATATGCAGCTATTAGAGATATTATTAATTCAGTGGGAAATACATTAAGTAGTTCGAAAAGAAACCAAAAGAGAAAACGATCATGTCCCATTCAAAGTTCGCGTCTACACCACAAACAACAAACTTAGCACGGATCTCCCGCCTGATTCTGGGACCCTGTGCTGACGTCATGAGGGATGTGCTCCTCAAGGAGGTGCCAGCAGCGGACCTGTCTAAAGCCGTTAAAACTTGGTTAAAGACGCAGAAGAGGAACCCCCTTAATGTTTTACAAACCGATTTAATTTTCCCGCCACCTTCAAAAATCTACACTGGAGATTACTCCGATATGGATATATCCTTACTTTATACTCTCCTGCGTAATGTGACTAACCTACCTGCACACCGTCAAGGTTGGGGTAATGATCCTGACCCTACAGACAGAAGTGTATCGGCAAATATGGAGCGTATCAGGTTCATCAGAAACAAACACTACGGACATGCTGTTGAAATAGGTATATCTGATGCCGATTTCCAACTTGAGTGTATGAACATTCGCAAAATTGCCGAAGATCTTGATATCTGTTTTGGCGTTTCAAAATATCAACAATCGGTGGATTTTATCAAGACCGAAAAAATGGACCCGCAACAGGAAATCAAATGGATTAAAAAGCTTACAATATTAGGTATGACTATTGGTATAAACAATTCGTTTTTATTGCAGATCATGTCCATCTCTTTCATCACACACAATCATGTAAAAAAAAACCAACAAAGAATATATTGATTTTTAGAACTCTTAATTGTCCTAAATATCATTGGTTATTTATCATTTGCTTTCATGAAAACAAACTCCCATTAAGGCATGGCTTATACTTTTTTGTAAAGAGTAAAAAATTGGATAAAGATTATATCATAAATTGAATTCCTGCATGATCGTACCCTTGTACCTTATAATATCAATCCTTCTTAGAGAACGTGAATATTTTCGTCATAACTTGAAATGTAGCAGCTCCATCTATTTTGTATCTGAATAAAAACAGAACTATCATAAATCACAGCGGGGGGGGGGGGGGATATTTTTTTTATCATGTCCATATAAGGAAAGTATTCGGACATGTGAAATCTTACGATTACATATCTATACGAGGGTCATTCAAAAAATACGCAGACAATGCTTCTCATCGTCATATGATTATTACAAGATTATAGATCAACATATTTTCGTAAACAGAAACATTTACTTTGTTGAGGTGTGAAGTTTCATTTTATATGATTAGATAGAACTCATGTAAGCCAAAATTTAAAGCAACATGTTTTGCTACCACGAAGCACGGTGTACCAATATTGTAACGTCAAAATCAACGCTGAGAAAGTTTGTCAAAAGTATACTCTTTTTTATATTTCAAAAACGGTTTGAAGCGTCTTTATTTATTCAAAACACATATACACAACACTTAACACATAGTTTGCAAACAATTGTACAAATATAGCTTGAATTAGAATGTTATTGTTTTCAAATTCTTTACTTTATTATGCAACTCTATTATTTTTGCAACATTGAAGCACACATTACGTTCAAGGACGTTCTTACTCTTTTGACAATATTTTTAACTTTAACCTGTTTCTTTGCAGTCGATCCATCGTCCGATTCAAACTCGCTACCACTCGAAAATTGTATTTTCAATTTAATACAAATACACAGATTATTTTTCATTCAGATCCTGGTTTAAAAGGATTTTTTGAGCTTGTAGAAGAAGTTTTCCGAAAATAAAGTCTAATTTTAATGCTACTTGCTGCTCCGTGACGTCCTCCAACGTCATGGTTTTTTGCCTTTTTTAATCAAGTCTATATGTATTTAGAAGCTGATATCTTTTAAATGGAGCGAGATATTACATAACCTGATTTCATTTAAATTATTACAGCAATACTTTATTTAAACATGTAAATTTTATTTTGTTTCAGCTCCAATTATTTAAGGTATAGCTGTATATACTAAAAAGTGAAAATTAGAAAATTACTCAATTTTGACCGTGCTCCGTGACCACATTTTTGATGTTCTAAATCCTTCGCAATTTTAATAAATATGAAGATACATTCTAATTTTTTTACTCAAATTATTTCAATCTGTTGTTAAAACATTTGTACCAAATTTGGATATAATATGACGTTAAATAAAAAAGTTAGGACAAAAGTCTACGAACTTTTTGAATGACCCTCGTACTAAGATATATAATATTTGAAAAATAAAAACATTAAAACATTTATTAAGATATATGTAACGTTAGAAATATCAATGCAAATAATAAACAAACCTTGAACACCTGAGGCCCGTTTTACAAAACAACTTACGACTGAGACCAAAAACGTCAGATGATTGTAAGCGTTTGCAAAATTTATAATTGTCCCCCGCTTCCGCGAAAGCGAGGGGACATTAAATCTCATTCGTCTGTCCATCAGTCTGTCCGTCTGTCCGTCTGTCAGTCTGTCCGTCAAAAAAATTTTAATCTTGCCCATAACTTTTGATTAAGTGGAGCTATGACTTTCCTATTTCACATGTGTATTCCTTGTGACATGACCTTTCTTTGGGTACCACCAAATTTGACCTTTTGACCTTGACCATGGAGTTTGACCAATTTTTACACAAAAATTCCAAACTTTTACTTTGGCCATAACTTTTGAATAGTAGATACTAGGACTTTCATATTTCAAATATATATTGTTTGTGGCAAGACCTTTCATTGGATACCAACAACCTTGACATTTTGAGCTTAACCTTGGAGATTTACGTACTTATAAAAAAACTTTAACCTTGACCATAACTTTTGAACGGTGAGGGCTAAGGCTTTCGTACTTCACATAAGTAATCCTTTTGAGAAGACCTTTCATTGGATACCAACAACTTTTTCCCTTTGACCTTGACCCTGGAGTTTTAACTACTTTTAAAAAACCTTACGGTATTCAATGTATAACGAAGGGATTTTGACTGATTTTAAATAATTTTAAACTAGTTAAAAGCACACAGCTAGAAAACGATAAAAGTGAAATAAACCAAATTTGCAAGACTTATAACATGTAAGGAGACGGTCATTTTGCACATTTACAGTGTTTGAAGAGTTATCTGCCCTTGATGAAAAGAAGAAGATTTTTGATTTCACAAAATTTCTGCGGTAAATAATTTATTTTATTTCATATTTCAATAAAGAGGGAGTTTATGCATATTTTCACCAAGAGATTTCTTTGAAATTCAAATTGCTTTTTACAATATCTTATAAAAACATGCACTGCCCATAGACTTCAATGTAAAATTCAAAGGGATATTAATTGGACAATAATCAAAATTTTGTAAATTCCTTTGGTGGAGCATTTTCATTTGATGATATATTTAAATTGCTACCATGATTAAACATATTGGACCGTTCATTTATTAGGTACAAAATATGGTCGTTATACATTGAATACATTAACTGTGGCCACAACTTTTTAACAGTAGATACTAGGTCTTTTATATTTCACATATGTATTTCTTGTGGCAAGACATTTCATTGGATACCAACAACCTTGACCCTTTGACCTTGACCTTGGAGATTCACGTACTTGTGAAAAAACTTTAACCTTGACCATAACTTTTGAACAGTGAGGGCTTAGGCTTTCGTACTTCACATATGTAATCCTTTTGAGAAGACCTTTCATTGGATATCAACAACTTTTACCTTTTGACCTTGACATTGGATTTTTAACTACTTTTTGGACAAAACTTTAATTTTGGTCACAACTTTTGAACGGTAGATACTTGGTCTTTCATATTTTACATATTTATTTCTTGTGGCAAGACATTTCATTGGATACCAACAACCTTGACCCTTTGACCTTGATCTTAAAGATTTACGTACTTATGAAAAAACTTTAACCTTGACCATAACTTTTGAACAGTAAGGGCTAGGGCTTTCATACTTCACGTATGTAATCCTTGTGAGAAAACCTTTCAATGGATATCCACTACTTTGACTCTTAGATCTTGACCTTGGAGTTGACCTACTTTTAAAAAACTTTTTACTTTGGCTATAACTTTTTAACAGTCAGGATTAGGGTTTTCACCCTTCAAAAAAAATCAACTTCAGTGTTACTTTCTAAATAAATGACATATAATAGGATGTTTATATTACACACAATATGTCATAAAAAATAACACCTCACCCACAAAGACTCCGAAAGCGGGGGACCACAATTCTTTGAATTTGCTTGTTCTCTTTAAAATGTTTGATGTAAAAATATCTTTCAACATTTTTTTTAAAAAGATTAAAATAATATTAATATAATGTTTACCAAAAAAGTGACATGAAGAATTAAATTTGGTCTTAATTCGTAAGTCCTTTTGTAAAACGGGTCCCAGGGTCTTAATGTATGCAGCCAACTGTAGAATAGCTATTTCTTTAAACAGAGTCACTGGTCTCAGATGTAGAACAAAACGCCAAAGAAATACAGAAACTGAAAAGTAAGTCATCGCACTGAATACAGAGTTAAATATTACCATTCAGATCTGAGAATTTTTACATAAATCTGTCAGTCATTTATCAAGTTTTTTGTCTGAAGTATTTATAAATAATTATGTTTATTCCATGGGCATAATACTATTTATGAATCAAATAAACTAACAATAACTCAGATTAAAATGAGTTAATAAAGAATGGACACTATTTTCCTGAAATTGATAATTTACTCTTCTACAGATAAAAAAGAAAACACAGGGTTTGGTAAGTTTAGCTTTGGTTATAATGCTTTTAGTTCAATTTTTTTTTAAATATTCAACAAAGTAAATATTAAATGTTCTGTTTAATAAATTACACGCTTCAAAGTAACATATTATTGTATGCAAAATAGACGAACGTATTATACATTTATTGACTGAGTTCGAGGGCAACATGCATTTTGTCGGACCCAAGAACCAAACTGTCTGCCTGAGGCCGTTAGGCCGAAGGCAGACAGTATGGTTCGAGGGTTCGACAAAACGCATTCTGCCTGAGATAGTGTCAATAAATGTTTTGTTATACCTTTCATTTTATTTTATATTTTTGACATACATGTATTTTGTACTATATTAGGTAATGTAACATTAGATCTATACTTTTTAAAACCAAAGAATGAAATTGAAATTAAGCTCCGCCTATTCTGTGACGTAAGCGGTCCAACATCTCTCCGAGCGGTCCAACATCTCACTCAGCGGTCCAACATCGATTTTTTTATGCCGGCTCAGCAAAACATTAAAAATGTTGGACTTTTTTTGCTCAGCAAAACATTAAAAATGTTGGACTTTTTTTCTGTATAGATTTGTATAGGAACAAATTTTTAAAGGTATAACAATATACATTTATGCCCTGTTCACACGGAGAGTATAATTCGAATTAAATGTAAGTTTCTGCGAATTAGCTTCGCTTAGCGTTCAGGCGGAAAATTTCATGCGAATGAGTTAAATGTATTAATTTACTGCACATTAATGCCATCTTTTCACGGAGAGTTTAATTCGAATTAAGCGTAAAGTTACTGCGAATTAGCTTCGCTTAGCGTTCACACGGAGAATTTAATGCGAATTAGGTTAATTTGAATTACTTTACTGCGCATTAAATTACTTCACATTAGCATCGTGTGAACGCTAAGCGAAGCTAATTCGAATTAAATTTTGACGCATGCGTAAGGCCAGAATTAAGTCACAGGACACATGTTGGTGGTCCGATATAGGTATTTGTACTATATTTGGTTAAAAAAAACTGAGGGAAAGTATGTTAATCACTAAAATCAATGAATACCTGAAGCCACTACATCATTTATCAAAGGATGGCTCTGCACACTTGACGTGATTTACAAATGACGTCATAATAGACTTACTGACGCCTGACTGTAGAAGTTGAATTTTAATTCGCATTAGTTTACTTCGCATTAGATGTAATGTGAACGCAATTTAATTCGCATTATCTTAATTCGCATTAGTTTACTTCGCATTAATTTGCTGCGAATTAAACTCGCCGTGTGAACAGGGCATACATTACTTAAGGAATGACTTTAATTCTTGGCCAAATTATTCGATGATAACCTGGTTTGGGTCAGTTTACTGTTTATAATCCGCGAAGCAGATTATAAAAAAGCGTAAACTGACCCAAACCAGGTTATCATCGAATAATTTGGCCAAGAATTAGAGTCATTCCTTATAATTTAATTTCAAAATAATTAAACAACTGTTAGTGTAAAATTGTGTTGCTTTTTATGAGTTCAAATTTGCCGCTCAATAATACATCCCTAGTAACGGAAGTGATATGAAACAAGGGGAGGTAATAACTGATATACAGATCTAGCAGCCATGCATGATGTTTGTGTACACGAGGTAAGATAGAGCTACTGTTTGAAGTTAAAAGTACTTTTATTAAATCTGGAATTTCCCATGAATTCCAGTGACTGGAAATGAGGGGATTGTATGGATACAGATGATTCAGCTGGTTGTCAAGGGGGTGTGTCCCCATACCAAACCAGGTTATTAAGAAATAATTTGCGTTCCTTTTTGGTTATCAACCAATGAGAGACTAGAATACAAACAAAATTAAATTATTTTGCATTAGCACCATGTGAACGCAGCGTAGCTAAGCGAAGCTAATTCGAGGACACCTGTTGGTGGTTAGATATAGGTATATGCTATATCTGGTTAAAAAAATCGAGGAAAAGTATGTCAATCACTAAATGTATACCTGTAGCCACTATGATAATTATATCAAATCATTTAATGGATGGCTCTGCGTACATGACTTGATTTACAAATGACGTCATAATAGCCCTACTGGAAACCCTATTCGAAGAAATAAAGTTTTAATTCGTATTTGAACGCAATTTAATTCGCATTATTGAATCGTGGAAAAAATAATTTGTTTTCAAATGAAAAGAAATCTTGACGTTCATCTTCATAATATTTCTTTACTTTAACAAATGACTTTATTCCTTCTGCTTTCAAAAATTCTTTATAAATATAAATATCTAACTATCATCTCTCTCAAGAAAAAGTTAAGTTGAATAAATAACTTAAAGGTACTTGTAAATGTATGTAAGACATCCATATATATACATGTAACGCAATTATATCGATGAATCGTCAATATTTTATTAAACATGCAACTAGGTGTATGTGGATGTACTTATTGATCTGTAAATCTTGATAAAAAGAAAGCACCTTTTTCAAAACTGTTGGCCGTACTGCTTAGATATTTTTACGTGACATTAACCTGAGAAAAGGACATTTCAAACGGTTTGGTTTAAATATCTGTAACTGGAAAGGCTGTTCAAAATAATACACATGTACCATACGAAACAGCATCTTACCCACATCTTGTTTTCTTTTTCAGCTATGAATATCAGAGCAAAGATTGGTAAGACCTTAATTATTCCTTATATTTCATTTAAACAAAAAAATTACAAGAAAATAAAAATGACAAAAAAGATTTTTATTAGATGTGGATATTTAAGCAAAATTGAAAATATTGCTGGAATTTTTTTTAGACACAACCGAAGCTGCTTTAGAAGAACAAGAGCTAAAAATAAGGAATGTATTTGTTCAAACGCGTGCGATTCAGAGAGTATTAGAACTTCTGGAGACTAATAGGTTTGTCCTTATCAAAGGTAACCCGGGATCCGGGAAAACCACGATTGCCTTGCACGTCTTAACAGAATTACAGAAGAAAGGAATGTTTCCTCTCCAGTTGTTCACCGTTAAAGAACTATACGGATCCGTATCACCATCTTCAAACGTCGCTTTATTTTTAGATAATTTATTCGGGGAGTTTTCAGTTTCAAATGAGGTTGACAACTTTAAAGCCAAGAGACATTTGATTAAGGCAATGTGGAATAATGATAATTGTCAAGGAAATGTTTTAATTATAACAATTAGAAATGATATTTACAAAGAAGCAGTAGAAAGAATAAATGAAGAATTATTTTTAAGCGATTCTTCAGTTGACTTATCTAATGGGAATTTTCAAATGCAAAGTTCAGAAATAGTAGAAATGTTTACAACGTACGGTCTTGATAAAATGATAACATCAGATACAATGCCGGATGTTATTAAACTTGGAAATTCACTTGGAATCCCCCAATGTTGCAGCCTTTTGCAAAATAATCCAATATTTTCCGAAGACCCTCAAGCTTTCCTAAAGGATCCTATTCTTAGCTTGGAAAATTATATAAAACAAAGGTTAGATCGAAAAGAAAGCAAAATGTCAGTTTTAATCTATATTCTTCTCTGTGGAGGGAGTGTGGAAGAAAGCGTGCTGAAAACACCATCAGACAGACCGCGGAAAGAAGAAGCACTAAAAATGATAGGAGCCACAGAGTCAACTTTATTGAAGTTTCAAAGTTCTGTCTCTCATTACGAAGATTTTTTGATGGCTTATGACAATATTGAAAGAAAATATAAATTTAGTCATAGCTCAGTACAGGAGAGTTTATTTAAATGTCTTGTCAATTATTACCCACAAGAAATTATCAAGAGTTGTGATTTTACCCTTCTAGAAAGGTTAACGACTTGCAAGAAATTGTCGTGGAATTCTGTAGTAATTGTCGAAGATATTTTTCAAAACTTAATTAACCGATTGCTAGAAGTCCTGCAGGGAAGATCAGTTACAGCATTTCAAACAATTTCCCGTTTTCACATATGGAAAGACGAGAAGTTTGTTTGTAAATGCAAAAATAATCAAAGTGTGTTGATTGGGCTAAAAGAAAATACTGATAGTCATGGGCAAACAATGATAGTTCATTTCTGTGTATCTGGTAACTTTAGTTGGTTTAAATATCTATTGTCTTCAGCTTCAGAAGAACAAAGATATTTGTCCTTAAATGAAGCATGTGCACACAACCAGAGGGAAATAGTTGACTTGCTATTATCAACTAATGTTAGGTTTAATTTAAAAACTTGTTTTTACGCTGTGCAAAGTGGAAATTTAGATTTGCTTTATCGCTTCACTGATAATGTAGACCTTACAGAAAGAACTTTATCAAATCATTTTCGCTGGAATTTTATAGAATGCGGTCTTCTACACGAGATTTGTTTTTTCGGGCAGAATCACCTCATTAAACCAGTTCTAGCACGCTACCCACAACTAATTGATGTTCGGAACAATCAAGGTGGAAGCGCTCTACATTTTGTTGCGTATGCAGGAGACGAAACAATCTTTAAAGAATTAGTTCAGAGTGGTTGTGAGCCGTATAGAATAAATTATACTGGTTCAACTGTTCTTAGCTATGCTTGTCAAAATGGTAAACTAAACATGGTCAGGTATATCTGTGATAAGTATCCAGATTTACTTTCTCCAGATTATGATAACAAAAGAGGTATGAGTCCATTACACTGGGCAGCTCAATCAGGAAACATAGAATTGTATGAATACTTGATAGAAAAAGGTGTAAAGCAAATATTTCCTGACGATCAAAGTACACCATTACATGAAGCTTATAAGTTTGGAAGACTAAACATGTGTAAGTACTTGGTCAATACTTATCCTCATTTACTAGACATCAAAGACAATAATGGAGAAAATGCCTTACATGCTGCAGCCTGGGGAGGTAACATTGATTTACTCAAATTTCTGTTGGAGAAAGGTTTTGATGTCAAAACCAAAAGAAATGATGGGAAAACTGTGCTTCACCTATGCTGTATGAACGGAAAACTAGAGATGTGTAAGTACTTGGTCAATACTTATCCTCATTTACTAGATTTCAAAGACGATAATGGAGAGAATGCCTTACATGCTGCAGCCTGGGGAGGTAACATTGATTTACTCACATTTCTGTTGGAAAAAGGTTTTGATGTCAAAACCAAGAAAAATGATGGGAAAACTGTGCTTCACCTATGCTGTATGAACGGAAAACTAGAGATGTGTAAGTACTTGGTCAATACTTATCCTCATTTACTAGATTTCAAAGACAATAATGGAGAGAATGTCTTACATGATGCAGCGTGGGGAGGTAACATTGATTTACTCAATTTTCTGTTGGAGAAAGGTTTTGATGTCAAAACCAGAGGAAATGATGGGGGTACTGTGCTTCACCTATGCTGTATAAACGGAAAACTAGAGATGTGTAAGTACTTGGTCAATACTTATCCTCATATACTCAATCTCAAAGACATTAATGGAGGAAATGCCTTACATGCTGCAGCCTGGGGAGGTAACATTGATTTACTCAATTTTCTGTTGGAGAAAGGCTCCGATATTGAGTCCAAAAGAAATGATGGAGAAACAGTGCTTCACCTATGCTGTATGAACGGAAAACTAGAGATGTGTAAGTACTTGGTCAATACTTATCCTGACTTACTGGATGTCAAAGACAATTATGGAGAAAATGTCTTACATGATGCAGCCTTTAGAGGTAACATTGAATTATTCAAATTTCTGTTGGAAAAAGGTTTTGATGTCAAAACAAAAAGAATTGATGGGAAAACTGTGCTTCACCTATGCTGTATGAACGGAAAACTAGAGATGTGTAAGTACTTGGTCAATACTTATCCTCATTTACTTGATGTCAAAGACAATAATGGAGGAAATGCCTTACATGATGCAGCGTGGGAAGGTAACATTGATTTACTAAATTTTCTGTTGGGGAAAGGTTTTGATGTCAATACCAAAAACAATTACGGGAAAACTGTGCTTCATCTATGCTGTATGAATGGAAAACTTGAGATGTGTAAGTACTTGGTCAATACGTATCCCAATTTACTAGATGTCAATGACAATGATGGAGAAAATGCCTTACATGGTGCAGCCTTCGGGGGTAACATTGATTTACTCAATTTTCTGTTGGGGAAAGGTTTTGATGTCAAAACCGAAAGAAATGATGGGAAAACTGTGCTTCAATTATGCTGTAAGAGCGGCAAACTAGAGATGTGTAAGTACTTGATCAATACTTATCCTCATTTACTTGATGTCAAAGACAATATTGGAGGAAATGCCTTACATGATGCAGTCTGGTGGGGTAACATTGATTTACTCAATTTTCTGTTGGGGAAAGGTTTTGATGTCAATACCAAAATCAATGACGGGAAAACTGTGCTTCACTTATGCTGTATGAACGGAGAACTAGAGATGTGTAAGTACTTGGTCAATACTTATCCTCATTTACTAGATGTCAAAGACAATGATGGAGGGAACGCCTTACATTATGCAGCCTTGGGAGGTAACATTGATTTATTCAAATTTCTGTTGGAGAAAAGTTTTGATGTCAAAACCAAAAGAAATGATGGGAGTACTCTGCTTCACCTATGCTGTATGAACGGAAAACTAGAAATGTGTAAGTATTTAGTCAATACTTATCCTCATTTACTAGATGTCAAAGACAATGATGGAGAGAATGCCTTACATTTTGCTGCCTGGAGAGGTAACATTGATTTATTCAAATTTCTGTTGGAGAAAGGCTGCGATATTGAGACCAAATCAAATGATGGGGATACTGTGCTTCACCAATGCTGTATGAACGGAAAACTAGAGATGTGTGAGTACTTGGTCAATAATTATCCTCATTTACTTGAGGTCAAAGACAATAATGGAGGAAATGCCTTACATGATGCAGCGTGGGGAGGTAACATTAATTTATTCAAATTTCTGTATGAGAAGGGTTTTGATGTCAAAACCAAAAGAAATGATGGGGGTACAGTACTTCACGTATGCTGTATGAACGGAGAACTAGAGATGTGTAAGTACCTGGTCAATACTTATCCTGATTTACTTAATGTCAAAGACAATAATGGAGGAAATGCCTTACATGCTGCAGCCTATGGGAGTAACATTGATTTATTCAAATTTCTGTTGGAAAAAAGATTCGATATCAAAACCAAAAGAAATGATGGGAAAACTGTGCTTCATCTATGCTGTTTAAACGGAAAACTAGACATGTGTAAATATTTGGTCAATACTTATCCTCATTTACTAAATATCAAAGACAATTATGGTGAAAATGCCTTACATGCTGCAGCCCGGGGAGATAACATTGATTTAGTCACCTTTCTCTCTGAGAAAGGCTTAAAAATGAGAGGAAGGGTTAGTAATTAGGAAACTGGTTGCAACTTGTGCTGTATTTGTTGAAATAAGAAAACATTTAATACTTATAGATATTTTTTCTCAGTTTGTTGGCATAAGTATTCACTTTCAGCATTTATATGTTTTTTTTAAAGTTCCCTAGTTAAGCAAATACAGGTATTTAATAGACAATTTGTTTCAAATACATATAGGAAGAAAGAAAGGAATTCCTCATTCCTCAATAATCTAATTTAAAAGGTAACTACAAACTGTTATAAAAGGGATTTTGTAAGGCAGAAGTTCTTTTTGTACAGGGACTACACTTTATACACGATTTTGAGGTATGTACATGTAGTAAAATGTCATTTCAGCTGATACATTATACGTGTACCTGTTTTTAAGCAATAATGTTTTTTTTTAATTAGCATGAATTAGATATCGTTATGTGTGAATTAAAATTCAAAATCAGACACAAATAATTCAAATGAAAATTAACATTCTTCTGCGATTTTGCATATTCACAGAATCTTTCAAAAGTTACTTAATGATGTTTCCCCTAAGCTGTGTATAGTGCACATGTAGAAAAAAGATTTTATATAAGAAAATGGCTGGTATATTTTTTCTATAGCGTTAAATGTTTTAAATTTAAAAGAAAATGGAATGGTTTTATGTTTAATTAGGCATTTTTGTTAAACCAGTTAATCGATCCCTCCGGATTACTTGTACTGTGTCATGTCAAGGCTGGTGTTGTCATTTAATGTAAATGATATTTTTTCCTTTTATTTTGCAACATTTTTATCAAGTTTTACTATTTTACAAAATTGAATAAGTAATTGGTTAATTAAATGAATTTGTTGTTATTTACACACCATCATGTGCGTAATTTAATTTTTCTCATTTTTTTTCTTGACTTCCCAATAAAATTAAATTTTCTTACGGTGATATATATTATTTCACATATTTGTGAATTCAAGCCCTCCTAAATAAGATCAATGTAGCCGAACTGTTAGTATTGTAATTAAGTGTATGCACGTTTCTCATTGAAAAGTGTTTTAATAATGACAATTATTTTTTCACTGTGTTACCATTTATAAGAAATTTGTAGCAAATGTATATATCTAGAAAGATCTTTATTTTGTATTGAGTTGATTTCAATGAATATGAATTGAATATATTCTTTTTTTCAGAATGAATGAATAATTTTTTAATGAAACTTTTACTGTATAATATTCTGTAAAGTGGAAATTCTATAATACTTGATATACATGTATGTTTAATACAATCATTATATGTTATACATGTATACTGCATACATGTAGTGAAGAAAATCATGAATATATAATATTTTATCATATTATAAAAATATTCATAAAATTATAGAGTATATTGACTTATTTATTTATCACAAAGTGGTGAAACGCAGGGAATTTTGGGTTTCCTCTGACTTTATAAAAAATACACTGATGTCCCCATATGACAGCTTACAGCGAGAGTTGAAGTTTCTCGAATGCAATCCCAAGGTCAAGATATAAAAAAAATGTTAATATCCAAACAAAGGATTTGTGTCAATAAATATACGTATATTTGAAAAATGAAAGCCCAAGTACTTACCCTTTAATAGTTATCACAAAGATTATTAAAGTTATTTCAAAGTGAGTCAAGCTCCAAGGTCAAGGTCAAATGGTTGAATTAAGTGGAACTCAGGCAGGACCTTGTTGTAAGAAATTAACTACTGAAATTTAGAAGCCCTAGCACAAAATGTCAAAAAGTTATGGCCAAGGTTAATGTTTTTCAAAGGTAGTTCAACTTCTAAGGTAAAGGTCAGGATATCTGAAGAAAGGTATTGTCACATGGAATACACCTGTGAAATACAAAAGCTTCGTTCCAACTGTTCAAAGTTATGACCAAGGTTAAAGTTTTCTTTTTAATTGGGTCATTTTGTAAGGTCAAGGCCAAATTTATGTAAACCCATCTAAAGGTCTTGAATACACGTGAAGAATGAAAACCCTAGCATCAACTGTTCAAAAGCTATGGCCAAGGATAAGTTTCACTGATGATTTTTTTCAAAAGTAGGTCGAACTCAAAGGTCAAAAATATAATGTGAAAAATGAAAGGTAAAGCCCCACCCACTGAAACGTCATGTGCAAGGTTAAAGTTTTTTGCAGATTGACAGACAGACAGGACAAACACTATACATATCAGATTCTTTGATAACGCGGGCATAAAAAGTGCATATTAGAAAATATATACTTTTCAAAGAATAAATGCATTTTCACTATATAATCAAAAGAGCCCCACCCTAACACCATAATCCCTGACCCTGGGCCATAAAATTCAAAATTTTGGTAGAGGCACTCTTGCTAATCATAACTGTGAACTTAATTAGTTTATTTAATACCCAGGAGCAGAGAAGATTTTAAAAGAATAAATTAATGCAATTTCACTATATAGTGAATAGAGCCCCACCCTACATGTAACACCAGAACCCCTGACCCTGGGGCAATTAATTTCACAATTTTGCTAGAGGTTTCAATGCTGATTACAATCATTTCAACAATTTGCCTGCTTAATTGATATCCAGGAGTAAATAAGATTTTTTAAGACTGCACTAATTTTATTGGTTTTGGCCCCAGCCCCCAGGCCCCAGTGGGGCAGGAATCATCAAATTCACAATTTTTGTTCCCCTTCACCATCAAATGCTACATGCCAAAATTGGTTGGAATTTGTTCAGCGGTTTCAAAGAAGAAGCTGAAAATGTTTAAACAGACGACAAACAACAGACGATGGACGAAAACGGATAGCAATAGGTCACCTGAGGTGACCTAGAATAATCGGAGAGGTCATACATTATTGCAACTTATTTAAACATGAAGTATACTAGTGCTAGAGCAAACACAATTATAAAAAATTTACACTTAAAGCAATGTGATATTCATTCTCTTTAAAGCTGAAGACTCTTCATAAACATAGGTAATCAGAAATTACAGAGCTCACCTCAACGAATGTTGTCTTTAAGTAAGGCAAAGTCACACAATTAACCAACAAAAAGTGTACATTCCAAAAATGAAAATATTTAAGCAATTTTGATCTGATACTTTGAAATAGACCTACATAAACAATATAAACTAGTTCTTCTTCATGAAAATGTAATCAAAATCCAGCATCTGAAGCAAATTTGAGAGTTTTTATCTCTTGATGAAAACTTTAACCTGTTCACTCAACCGCAAAATGTAGGTCAGATTCAGCATCCGAAGCAAGCCTGGTAGTGTGCATCCTTAGATGTATCATCCATGCAAGTTTGGTCAACAAAGGGCTTATAGTTACTTGGATATGAAACCTGCACCAAAAACTTTAACCTGTTCACTCAAACCCAAAATATAGGTCAGATTCAGCATCCGAAACAAGTCCGGTAGTATGCATCCTTAGATGTATCATCCAAACAAGTTTGGTCAACATAGGTCTCATAGTTACTTGGAAATGAAACCTACACCAAAACTTTAAACTGTTCACTCTACCGGAAAATGTAGGTCAGATTCAGCATCCGAAGCAAGCCCGGTAGTATGCATCCTTAGATGTATCATCCATGCAAGTTTGGTCATCATAGGGCTTATAGTTATTTGGAAATGAAACCTGCACCAAAAGCTTTTACCTGTTCACTCAACCGGAAAATGTAGGTTAGATTCAGCATCCGCAGCAAGCCCGGTAGTAGCCATCCCTAGATGTATCATCCATGCAAGTTTGGTCAACATAGGGCTTATAGTTACTTAGCAATGAGACCTGCACCAAAAACTTTAACCTGTTCACTCAACCGGAAAATGTAGGCCAGATTCAGCATCCGAAGCAAGCCCAGTAGTGTATCATCCATGCAAGTTTGGTCAACGTAGGTCTCATATTTACTTGGAAATGAAACCTGCACCAAAAACTTTAACCTGTTCACTCAACCGGAAAATGTAGGTCAGATTCAGCATCCGAAGCAAGCCCGGTAGTATCCATCCTTAGATGTATCATCCATGCAAGTTTGGTCAACATAGGGCTTATATAGTTACTTGGAAATGAAACCTACACCAAAAACTGCACCAAAAATGTAAACCTGCGCCAAAAACATTAACCTGGTCATTCCTTTGCTGAAATTGCAGCATCTGAAACTTTGACTGGTACAATGAAACACACTAGAACCATCTTCCATGCATGTCTTATCAATATAGGACATAGAAGTACTTAAAAAGAAAACTGCTCCAAAAAACTTAACCTTCACCTGGGACGCCGACGCCGACGGTATTACATAAGCTCCCCCAACTTCGTTGAGTTGAGCTATAAAGGCATAGTCCGCCATATTCCCCATTCTCCAACGCTCTCCCTTCAACACATGTAAAAGGAGCAGCTCGCTTATCAGTTCATTGTATTTTGCTGTAGAGGTCCGACGAGTGTAGACGTACATCTTACACAGCTGTGCTTCTCGGTCGCGATGAAATTTTCAAATTTAACGTATTTTTTCCAAAACAGGACAAAAGTATCATGAACAAGAGCCCAAGGGCCTTATAGGTCACTTGAGTATCATACAACAACTTTTTAACAATTGAATTTGATTCATGTTTTAATTCAGAGGCCATGAAATTCACAATTTTGAAAGAGGTACATGTACCATTGCTTATCATAAATATGCACTCAGCATGCTTACTTAGGTTAGTAATACCTAGTGTTAGACCATGCTTTATTCAGCATCATCCACTATAACTGAACTTTACAAAATGAAGAGCTCCCTTATGGGGAGATAAGATATACATAAACTAGAGTTACTTCTCTTTGCATATAACACATAAGTAAACTAACATTAATTATACTTTTCTCTTTTGGGGTAAAGAAAATAAAATTAAAAAAAATAGAATTAATTAAGTGTTTCAGATTGTAAGATAAAACAATAACATTGGCTTTCAAAACATTGTTTTAACCACAAAAGTCTGGCAGCATCCGTCCTGTCATCAGAATCTCCAGAACACACAAACCACTTGCTCCTGCTTTTGTTAGGCAATTAG